TCATCGTAGACAAGCAGAATTCGCAGCGGCTGCTCAGCGGCAACGCTGCGCCGGCGCACGCTATGCCTGGCTGGCTCTCCGGCGGATTCGGAGTCATCTTCGCTATCAGCCAGTTGGATGCGCACGCCATGGACGACCTATAAAACGAAAGATGGATGGATATGATCAGATAGTGCCGAAAGGGAGAGCGGCGGCGGACGGATGGCAGAAGAGAAGAAATCAAGATACTTTGTATATAAAGAAATCAAGAAATCACTGAACGGAGCTTAAACGAAAGCGAAATTTCGTTGTTAACTATTAAATGACGACATGTAGTCAGACAAAGGCCACACAAAAAGGCAGTTCCACGGCGGTAATTGGTCTGCGCAAATTGCAGGGAAATTAATTTTAAATTGCCCGCCAAAATGTCGAACGATTGGCACATCGAAATGTCAATGATTTGTTGGGCTGGTTATTTTGTTTCAGATTTGAATTTGGGTTTGGATTTGGGTTTTATTTTAGCCCGTTGTTTCGGCGATGCCATTGTTTCGATGCTGTTGTTATTATTACTATCGTGCTCTGCGGTCGCATTGTGCAATCTGTGCCAATTATTAGGAATAAATTAGATGTCTTCGTTGAATATGCATGGCGAACCTTTATCCGCAGATAATTCGTCGACAGACAGACAAAGCACTTGACACTCATCAGCATAAATTGTCGACGACATCTGTGAGATGCGCTTGAGTGCTGCTAAAAATATGTGCTCATCAAAAATGTATGTACATTCTGTCTGTCTGTAGGACCGGAAAGCGGTCTTAAAAGGTTCCTAATGCTGTCTCAAGAAGCCGCCGAGGAGAGGGGCTTCGAAAACGAAAGTATCTTTCTTGTCATCAAAGAGTGTCTATCATATATGAATGAAAAGTCAGACAAAGTGAAAGGCAACAACAACAACAACATCATCATCATCAACATCATCAAGAGGGGCAATTGAAATTATAATAAAGCTAATTTGCACACAAGAATTGTATTGACATACAGCTTAGCTGTCGTAATTAATGGAGCACCATATGTCCCTCATCGTGGGAAGTGATTGGTTAGGTGTTCTCACTGTTCTCACCCAAGTGTGGATTGTAACTGCCGGTAAATGGCAAAGTTAGACACCTGCACGAACCCGTTGAAGAAAAAATAACATTCCTATTTATCCAAGAACAACAATAGTTGTGGCAATCGCGATCAGACAAAAGAGTTTGGCATTGAAATGAGCTAAGCAAACAGTGGTGTGGCTGCGATGAAGTGCTGCAGGGTTTGACTGAATCTTGGGATTTATCTAAACACCCATCAAAGTCATCGAAGCTCTAATGACTGCAGATCAGCTGCCAACGTGACAATATCTGTCTGTCATTGTTTCTTTAAGTTTTCAAACATCATTGTTTACGAATAATTATGGATATTGAAGTAATCTCTTCCAGCATAAACTCACAAATTTGATTTACATTTTTAGAACATTGTAATGCGATTTTAGGAAGTGTTCTCTAATTATAAGAAAACTACTACCATTTATAGAGTTTTTTAATTATTGTTAAGTTGCATTATAAAGTAAAGTAAAGACCCTGATGAGAAGATTAGCCATCTGCAATTAGTCTCTCAGTCACGTTCATGAATGATGTACTATATAAGCCCCAATGTTAACCCCTCTATGGCAACGCCCTGCGAAAGTCATGTGCCGTTGAGATAAGTAAAGTAACCATAAACCTTCAAAGAGATATATCTCCAAAGCTTCCCATAATCGTGACAACGACCCTCGAAAAAAAAGTATAACCAACATAATGTACGATCTTCACATTGATCGTGCCCAGATGGGAGGCATTATCCCCAAAAAAAAAACCCCGTAAGCTGTGCTGCGGTTGAGTGCATTGAAAAAGCATTTGAAAAACCGCACAAATTACAAATCATCTGCGAAACGTTTGGCAGGTGAAAGATGATGACGCACAAAACCATTTAGACGGGGCAGCTCGATGAGTTCGCTGTCATTAAGGGGGAAGAGATATAGAAGGGGGCTGGCAAGCGGGTTTATAGCGGTGTCAATATCTTTGCGGTATTAATGCAACCCAAATGCATTGTGATGCGGACCGTTTACAGTTGAATGGCGGTACACATTAATGAACACGATTTTTCTATAATGGGCAACTTAAATCACATTTATGATTATGTATAAGGGTCTACCATTAATGAAAAAAATATATTTGACGGTTTTAATTGAAATTTAATACTAGTTTTGATGGGTAGTTTATACCTTCCTAAAAACACGTTAGTCTAAATGATTAAAATCTTTGATATTTGATTCATTTATAAACGCTTAGTTGCAAAAAAAACTAATTGAAAAAACGAGTTTTTTATTGCTTCAGAAATTTATAAATAAAACATATATTCCAAATAGTTTTAATGGCTTGTATTTAACCATAAAAATACCCGAACAAACTATAAATAATTGAATAACCAATATATAATAACGACTATTAGATACCCCTTATTTTTACAGTCCAGTAGATAATGTTATTTGTACTTTCCATAGAGACACCTGTTGGTAATATCATGTCCTAAAATATGTCTTTCAAGACATGTGAGACATCTATCTGGCTGGACATCTCTAAAGTCTGCATGACCAATCCCCATTCTTGCTCAATCTGTTTCTGAGTTGTCAGCACTTATAAGGACTTACGGATAAATGGACATTGCTGATCCTCCAAGTGATCCCATAATTTATTACATTATTTTCAACGAAACAATATACCTTTTCACTTTACGATCGAAGGGTATAGCTACACGACGAACTATTTCTAACATCGAAACCATAAGGTTTAGTACTCAACAATAAAATGTCCAGAGCACTAGTTATATATTTCTGCATATTTTGTTTAAAACTTATTACCTATAGCCATGTAAGTAAATAGTAAAATATATATGGCTTAAGGATGAAAACGTAGCTCTTTTGAAGGTTGTCAATGGGTCCTATAAGTTTAACTCACTTAACTGCGAAGTCGTCGCTCCAGAAATTGTCTATTTAAAGGAGTGCCGCATCAAGGCTATTGACCGAAAGCATAACAAGTTGAACGTAACAGTTGTTTTAAAAGAAGACATAACCCAGGTAATTTGGGATGTGAAATGTCGGAAATTTAAAAGTAATCTCTGCTGTAGATTGACCTGAATTTTAGAATCGTAAAGCGAGAAATTGGCGGTTGGCATCCCTTTTTTTACAATATCAGAATGGAGGTTTGCGAGTTTTTTAGGAACCGAAGGAAGTTTTTCATTGCCAATTATATGTATTCCATTATGAGGCCATTCTCAAATATCAATCACACCTGTCCATACGTGGTAAGACCACCAATTAAAATATCTTACTATATTAATTAATGAATTTATATATTTTATCTATTCTCTTCCAAGGCTAACGAAGAGATTTCAATTAAAAATTTTTCTCCAAGTGAAGATACAATTCTGGCAAAATTTCCATTGGACTACGGCCAGTATGGCCTTCAATCAGTTTTTTACGTTCGCAATGCGGTGGCATTTAAAGTAAATGGATCTGTTTTATTTTTCAGATAACAGTATAAATGAAAATTGTTCGATTAAAAGATTAAAGAGCACATTAAAAAAATCATTTATAATAAAATTTTCATGTATTTATTAAAGAAAATAAATGTAATTAGCAGAATTCAAACTTTGTAATGCTATTTTGTGGCCATCAAGAACTGTACTCTATTGGACATAAACGCAAAGATATTTTTTAACCGTAAGTAACAGAAATACATTTAATACATACAAACGTAATTAAACTATATGGTATTGTATTAATAATAAAACTTAAAAAGATTTAAGAATAAACAACTTAAAAATAGATAACATTTTAATACTATAAATAAAAATCCAACTATTTTAATATAAACATATACCGAATATGTACTGTACTTCAGTGCCATCAAGTTCAAATATTAAATCAGACAAATGTCATCAGCAATTAGTAAAGTAAAAATGAACCTGTGTAGATTACAACCAATTCAGTGTTAAATAAAAACATGATCAGAGCGCATGTTCCTTGTACATTTGTCTATAACTTGTTTAAACTGTAAAATATAGTAAAATGTTCAAAACACAAGTTATATATTTGTGCGTATTTTGGATTAATCATTTTAGTTATATTCATGTTAGTAAATCATTGAATAACAAATCAGATAAGGATTAAAACCGTTTCTTCCAAGGTCAATGGTTCCTATAAGTTTAATTCACTTAACTGCGAAGTAAGTGCCCCAGAAATGGGGTATATGAAGCTGTGCAACATCAAGGCCATCGATCGAAGGCATAATATGATGAACCTAGTGGCGGTCCTAAATAAAACCATATCACAGGTTGTTCGATAACTGAGATATGAACCAAAAGAAATATATACTAAAGACTATCTTAACTTCAGTTTCAGATACATTTCAAGATAGTTAAGCGCGAAAGTGGCGGCTGGCATCCCTTTTTGTACGATATCAAAATGGACATTTGCCAATTCTTTAAGAACCGAAGAAGGTTTTTCATTTCCAATCTCATATATTCTTTTATGATGCCTTTTACAAACGTCAATCACACCTGTCCATACTTGGTAAAGCCGGAGTTCAAATTTTGTTACTAAATTATATTAATTTTCATTAATTATTCTTAGGTTGGCTCCGAAATGGCGCTTTTGAATTGGACTCCAAACGAGGAAAAAGTAATAGATAAATTTCCAGTGGACCATGGCCAATATGGCATGCAGACCACTTGGTACGTCAACAAAGTAGCGGCCTTAAGAATAAACGGATCTGTTTTATTTTTCAAATGATAATTACCAGAAAAAATGATATTTTAATTTATTCACGTCTAAATTTAGCTCTGATTAAGACAGAAATACCTTAATGTATTATGGATTATTAAAAAGAAATTATGGAAATTATTTTTTTACGCTCTGCAAAGCGAGAAAAAATGTAGTATTTTTTCATGAAATGGAGAGGCAACAAGTTATTTATTTATCCATACTCTGGCTAAATAACCTTTGTATTACTAACGTAAGTAAGATAACGAAGTTCGAAGCATTTTAAAGGACAAATTTCATAGGTGCAGGGGGCCTACAAGTTTAACTCATTAACTTGCGAGGTTGTTCCACCGGAAAGTATTAACAATTATGTGTGCCACATAAAGGCGATTGATCGAAAACATAATATGCTTAGCATTGCATCCTACGCTCTTAAAAACGTCTCAGAAATATTTGAAATATTTAAAACATATTTAACGACTACTAAAAGTAATGTCTACTGCAGTTTGGAATCCATTTCAAAATGGTTAAAAGAGAGATTGGCGGTTGGCATCCTTTTTTGTACGACATGAAATTGGACCTTTGCGAGTTCTTTAAGAACCGAAGGAAGTTCTTTATTCCTAATTTTATATATTCCTTTATGAAGTCATTCACAAATATCAATCACACATGCCCATATCTGGTAAGAAAAAATATCTTACAATAAAATATTAGTTCAATATTTTCAATTAAAGGCCGGCGCAGACTTGGGACTTTGGAATTGGACTCCAGACGAAGCTGGAATCTTATCAAAATTTCCAGTTGAACATGGCCAATACGGTTTGCACACAACTTGGTACATTAATAAAAAACTGGCATTCAAAATGAATGGTTCAGTACTATTCTTTTAAGTGTGTTGGTTATATGATATTTTATTTATTGTGGAACTCGGATAAGAAGCTGTATGTTTAACATGAGTAACTTATAAGTTTATATGTTTAATAAGGCTGCGCGACAATATGTGGTGACGTCTTCAAAAGCAGATACAAGAAGAAGGAATACATAAGAAAATATCGCATAAAGCAATAAAAGGGTAGCTTAAGAGTGACCAAAGTTTGTATATCGATTGTTGCCCGACAAATCATATTTCAACACTCCTTCTCAACAATCATATACTTTATACATATTAATAACAATTCATTTCATTAATACATTTTACATGTTTGTTCTTTTGCAAGTTTTTAGTTAACACATCTGAGACCATATCATTAGTACTTATATACTTAACATCTATTTCATTTTTAGTATATAACTCTCGTACATGATGAAACTTAATATCAATATGTTTACTACGTTTATGCAAAATCGGATTCTTAGCTAAACATTGTGCGCTTTGATTATCGCAATACAACAAAACGGACTTGGTTTCTAAGAAACCCATTTCATACAATAGTTTCTTCAGATATATCGCCTCTCTAGCTGCCGTGGATAAGGCAATGTACTCGGCTTCGGTGCTGCTAAGTGCCACCGAACTTTGTTTTTTGGATTCCCACGAAATTGCCCCGCCAGCAGCAATGAAGACGTACCCGCTATACGATTTGCGATCTGTAGTATCGTTAGCCCAGTCAGCGTCCACGTATCCATGTATCTCCTTTCCAGTAGCCTGATAGTGAAGCTTCATGTTAGCCGTGCCTTTAAGATATCTCAGCACGCGCTTTGCCGAAACTTCATGCTCCTTGTGAGGATTGGCGTTGCGCTGCGCCAGTTTCACTACCGAGTGTAGTATGTCTGGCCTAGTTGTTATAGCCAAATACATCAGGGTGCCTATTAACGATTGATAGCCTTTCTCGTCAATGGCCTTGCATTTGGCGTCATCACATTTGACTTGATGACCCGCCTCCAGTGGTGTAGCTACAGGTTTGCATGTTGACATGCCCCAGGCATGAAGCATCTGCTCGACATACTGCTTATGGCCGATAGCTATGCTGCCAGTTTCGCCATCGCGCTCAACTTCGATGCCCAAAAAGTGATTGAGCTGGCCGCCATCCACAACATCAAACTTATTAGCGATTGATGCTTTGATGCCCAAAAGTTCATCTTTATTTGAGCTGGCAAGTAAAAGATCGTCAACATAAACTGCTATTATATTTATACTACCTTGTCCATTGCGTACATATACGCACGGCTCGCTGACACACGGTGTAAAACCAAGTTTTTTCAATACTGCGTCGAGCTTAGTATTCCATTCTCTGCCGCTTTGTTTAAGCCCGTACAGAGACTTCTTTAGCTTTAGGACCTTCTCGGGAAACTCTTCGCTTACGAACCCATCTGGTTGCCGCATGTACACGTCCTCCGATAGCTCGCTGTTCAAGTAAGCAGTAGATACGTCCATCTGATGCAAATGCAGCTTCTTCTCAACCGCCAATGCCATGATCATTCTAACGGACGGGTATCTGACCACAGGTGAGAATGTTTCCCAGAAGTCAACACCATAGCGCTGAGCACATCCTTTGGCAACTAGTCTTGACTTAAAGCGCTCTACATAGCCTTCCTTGTCAACCTTTACGCCAAATACCCACTTGCAGCCTATAGCCCTTTTATCTTGTGGCAGATCCACTAGATCCCACGTGTTATTGGCCTCTAGCGCATCCATCTCCTTCTGAATCGATGCTGACCATTCCTGCTTCATTCCTGACTGATTAACCTCACCCAAATTTGCTGGAATGTGTATATCCTCTGCCTTCAGCATATTCAGACAGTTGTATTGCTTACGTGGTCGCCCCGGCTTGCCAGTTTTAACGAGTCTTGGACGCCCTGGTCCACGGGTTTCAGATACAGCAGGCTGCTCTGCCTCATCGCTGATAGCACTCTCGTATTCATCACTGTTCTGATCATCTCCTGTGTCCAAGTCATCCTCTCCGACGTCCAAATCATCCTCTGCCTGAAGCTGCTCATCATTGTTGTCTTGTGCCTGCTGATTATCTGCTACAAAATCATCAAACAATGCCATTTCCATTTTATCGCTTGGAGATCCACCTACATTATTTTCCATGAAAATAACATCTCTGCTTTCAATAACTTTCCTTGATTTAGGACAAAACAAACGATATGCTTTTGCCGTTGCTGAATAGCCAATCATAACGTATTCATTACCTTTTTGGCTAAACTTCTTTTTATGGGCTTTATTCAATACGATTGCCTTTGAGCCAAAAACCTTGAGGTGCGACACATACGGTTTCTTGCCAACCCACGCCTCATATGGTGTCATGTTGCACAACGCTTTTGTTTCTGACCTATTGCGCAGATATGCTGCAGTCTGTACTGCCTCAGCCCACAGGCTCTCATCTGCGCTTGAATGAATCAACATACTCCTGGCCATTTCTGCCAGAGTGCGATTTGCTCTTTCGGCAACTCCATTTTGCTGTGGAGTATAGGGTACTGTCAGCTGTCTTACTATACCGTTTTCAGTAAGAAATTGTCCAAATGCGTGGCTCACGTACTCGCGCCCGTTATCGCTTCGAATTGCTTTTACTTTCTTTCCGCGTTGTTTTTCTGCAAACACAACATAGTCTTTGAATGCGCTTAGTATTTCATCACGAGATTTTAAAAAATAAACAGCTGTATAACGCGAGTGATCGTCAATGAACGTTGCAAAATAACGCGCACCCCCCGACAGACGGTTTGTTCATTGGTCCACATATGTCCGAATGAATCAAATTCAACACTTCTTCTGAACGACTTTCAGATTTCTTTGGAAATGGTTTCACACTAATTTTACTTTTGGCGCAAGTCTCACACGCATTGCTGTTTGAGTCAATTTTTGTATTAACTGTTTTTAAACCATTCACCATTCCACCACTCGCCATTTTAGTTAAGCTTGACAAATTTATATGGCCAAAACGATAATGCCATTTCCACATTGCACTGCTGTTTGTATTAGAATACATACACTGCTTCATTTTTATGTCAATCATAAACAAGTCACCATATCTGCACGCTTTCAATATGTCCACATTTTGTTTATCCCTAATCACTGCTTTGTGGTTATCAAAAATGACTTTATATCCATTTTCAACTGCTTTAGCCACCGATATAAAGTTTGTCTGTAACTCTTTTGCATACAACACATTTTTCAGTTCTATTGTGAAACTTTTACACTAACACACACAGTGCCAATGCCATCGGCCAACACAAAATTGGCGCCAGCAAGAAATATTTTTTTCTTTGTGCTCTCTCATTTCTACGAACCACGACTTATCACAACACATGTGTACAGTCGCGCCACTGTCCAGACACCACATTGATTTGCTCAAATTGTCAGTTTTCTTCACATTCGCCAGAATAGCAAGGGCTCTCTTCTTCTCAGTGCTTGTGTCTTTGTCATTTTTTAATTCTTCTTTGCACTGAGCTATAAAATGACCTTCGCGTCCGCACCTATAGCACTTCTTTTTCTTTTTTGTATTACCCTTTTGGTATACATTCTTCGCGCGCGACATAAATGCTTGCTGTACACTGCTGTCCGCAACTTCACTTTTCACTTGTTGTCTCTGTCCTTCTTCAATAATTTTTATTTTCAAGTCAGATAAGGACGGCAACATTTCTCGCGTCTCGATTGCCACAACGAAATTTTCAAATGATTTGCCTAAGCCGGTTAGCAACAAAATTGTAAGCATGTCTTCACTTATGTTCATTCCTATTTCGTTTAACTTTTCCACTATGTCCGAGAATTCACTTATATAGCTTTGCACACTTGTACTTTCTAGCAAGCTCATTCGCAGCAATCTTTTAAACAATGCTATTTTTCTAGCTGGTCCGCGCGGCTGGTACACACTCATTAATTTCTCCCATGCCTCTTTTGACGACGTGCAATTCTTTATGAAGTTAATTTGCGACGACTTTACACCCAGCAATATGCTTGCTAATGCCTTTTCGTCCCGTGTATCAAACAATGCGTTTTGTTCTTGGCTATCCCCTTCATTTTTCACAGTTCTCCCGCACACAATTGGCCACAGATCACTTTGCACCAGAATGCTTTTCATCTGTACCGACCATACCGCGTAATTTTCCTCATCCAACTTTTCGATGGAACATAACCCGTGTCCACTCATGTTCATTAATTTTTTCGCAATCACACACAGTAATTTAAATTAATGTCACAGTTTTTTATCCACACGAGCCCTGGGCCCATAACCTGTTGGTTATATGATATTTTATTTATTGTGGAACTCGGATAAGAAGCTGTATGTTTAACATGAGTAACTTATAAGTTTATATGTTTAATAAGGCTGCGCGACAATATGTGGTGACGTCTTCAAAAGCAGATACAAGAAGAAGGAATACATAAGAAAATATCGCATAAAGCAATAAAAGGGTAGCTTAAGAGTGACCAAAGTTTGTATATCGATTGTTGCCCGACAAATCATATTTCAACAAAGTGCTTACTTCTTAAGCAAATCATTTCAGTTTCACTGGAAACGAATTTAAAAATATTTTAAAAAGTTATGGATTAATAAAAGGGGTTAGTAACGGTAAATAAATACGTTTAATTTCTTGTAAAAATACCTAAAAATTTACATATTAAAAATATTCCTTATTCTTTATTTGATCATGTTTCTAGCCACACTTTCTAGCCATACACACATTGGCTTAGTTAATCTTTGATAAGACGTAATGGCCAACCCGCTTGACAATAAATGTACAGATAAAATCGGGATATTAAAAATATATTAACAAAGTAAACCAGTATAGTCTGAAAATCGAGGACAATTTATATTATTATATCACGAAATGGAGAGAGCGCAAGTTATTAATTTGTTAGTACTCTGGCTAAATATCATTAATATTATTAATGTGAGTAAGAAAAGAAAGTGCGAAGCATTTTAAACCACTAATGTAATAGGTCCGAGGGTCCTACAAGTTTAACTCATTAAATTGCGAGGTTGGATCACCCGATATTATTCCCCATCATGAGTGCGGCATAAAGGCGATTGATCGGAAACATAATATGATCAACATTGCAGCCTTTATTAATAAAACCGTATCAGAGGTAATTTCAATAACCAACATATTATGACTATGATTAATATCTAACC